TTTGATGCCTTAACAACTCTCCCCTGATTACTATGGCTTGGTTGCTTAAATTTTTGTTAATCCTACCTTCTCTTATGTAATTGTGTTTGCCTGATGAAAACGTTCGTTCGCCTAACTTGACTTCCTGAATCCTATTCGTGCTACATTCAACCCCCTTGGATTTATCATCAAGAGGAAGGCGCTGGTGCTTCGGGAGCCTGGTTTCCTCATGGTCGATTTCGTTCCTTCTTCCAGCTTCAATGCAACAGGTGACTGTCCGAGATAGTCTGCCATCTGGCAATGAATTTACCGCGGGCAATCAAGTGAACGAGCAACTCTGACACTCAAATCGGTGCATAGGCGGTCACTGAACAGTTACGCCACTCACTCAGCCCGCTTTGCCTTGGGGCTCATTCTCCATCCCCACCACCGGCAGCACAACAGCTAGTAATTTAGACAAGAGAACATTAACAGCCGCAGCCGAGGAGACTGGAATGAATACTTTTGGCTGATTAGAGGTCAGTGGCCAGTCATTTACAAGCCCGGGTGTTGCACTGCCCGATGCTCGAACCCCCGACCCATGGATTAGAAGTCCAACACTTTAACCGTTGAGCCATGGGTGCGTGGGTTCGTGGTATAGTTAGTTTAGAGCGGCATGCATTTCTGCATAGGTGCCCACCAATCGGTTAGGTGATTCACGCGTGCAGTTTTGCCTTGAAGCTTACGCTTCCGTCTTCTGCCTATATTTTTAGCCACTGTGCAGTTGCTGTAGGGGCTCTAGAATGAGCCCCAAAGCATGAGTCGCGAGCAAAACCGACGGGACTACGGCCCCCTGGTTCAAGGATGAGAAAGCTGGACTTCTAATCAACAGGTCCCATCTGCGAGCCTCAGGAGCTGCAACACCTGTGATTGGCTGGCTAATGACGGCTGATCAGTCAGAAATGTCCACTTAAGTTACCCTGGGCTTCGTCGGCAAGGATCTCCCACCAGATTCAGTTCTTTCTTGCTAAGTCCTCAAAACGAAGTCTGCAAATGCATGTGACAATACAAGACCAAATTAAATGATACCAGTTTATTTCGTAATGATACTCTCTGTCACCCGTGGAAGTGGCCAGGTGTCATACGATCTTTTTTTAAATCCCCTGAGAATTCGAGGATGCACACGATGCATTAGCGATGGAAAATGGCCTTCGAGAAAATTGCAAGTACTCCTTTTTAACGACTTGTAATACTGGTGAAAAAAACTCGCCCTGTTGCATATAGAGAAAGAAGATGCTTATACTCTGATTCGGCCCTTTCATCGGCAAAAACTCAGACGGTGAAGCATATGGTTTTGAAAGAAAGTCGGTAAATGCTTATGCACATTACTAGATCTAAGGGATTGGCAGCTAGAATATGACACTCTAGCAGCTGCAGAACACAGTCCGCAAAAATGGTCGTCCAGCGATGATACTACTCTGAAATGTTTTAGTCTGTGTCACAACGTCGGCTATAGCAACTACAAAAAGGACTTGTTTCTAATGCCAGCAATCGAATTAATAAGACAACGTCCAAGGATAGCTATCACGAATGCTTTCCCTGCGGTAAACTTGAGTTTAACATTCACAAATTCTCTCCTCATACAGGTGGGAGTAAATGCTGATTGCCATTGCAAGCCATATTTATGGGTATTTATTCCTTCAGCTTCGTCTGTGGAACGGGATAATTTAACCATCTGAAAAAAGAGGGCATGTGAACAAATTCAGGCCTGACTAGGCAAAGTAAAACATCGATCAATTTCAAGTGTAATCTTCGCACGTCTAATCCATACGAATAACCATATTGACACCAAAGAAGACTCTTGGATTATTAAGCAGGCATTAGCAAAGTATTCTAGTGGTCTAAGCCAGCGAATGCTAGCAACAGTCGAGGTAGTGGCCACATGGTTAGCGAATCCAGGGTTTTTATGTCAGCAGATGTTGCTACAGGTAGTCCGTCTTCCCTGGCCGATTCCAGATTGTGATCGGAGGCCACCCCAATCTTCAGATAACTCTCAGACGCAATCCACATGTTAGCTATTACAGTTCAAACGTCGAGGTCGACGATCCGCACCGCGTACTTTAGAGCAGGCTGGAAGCAAGCGTATTTGACGAACAGATAACGCTCACACCCCCCAGACGTGCCCTGCCCACCGCTATCTCCGTCATGCAAATGGTGTGGGAACGAAGTTTGTGACTAGCCCTTTCCTCTGAGACACATGTAAATCCTATTCATAGCTCACAACTCCGTCCTCCATATAAGTTTAGTGAGATGCTGATGAAAGACCGGTGGTTAGTGTTTCCCCCGCACCCGCCTTGGTCATCTTAGCAAAGGGAAAAAAACACGTTTT